AACATCTAAATTAAAATGCTTCTCAGCAGATCCAACCTCATTTTCTGCAATACAAGTGTAAAGACGTTATCTACTTTATATTATTAAACTCAGTAAACATCTCACTTACCATGAACATCTAAATTAAAATGCTTCTCAGCAGATCCAACCTCATTTTCTGCAATACAAGTGTAAAGTCCCTTGTCATATGATTGAGTTCGTAACAGTTGCAGTCTTCGTCCACCATCTAACAGCCTAATAAAAGGATTGTTTGTGAGGTCTACAGGCACTCCATTTTTAATCCAGGTAAAAGATGAAGGTGGGTGGGAGTCAACTGGACAATCAATAGAGAGTGGGCGATTCACTAAGACTTCGGGTGATTCTTGTTCATCGCCTTTAATTTTGGGCGGCACTGAAGAAACGAGAGAAAAACAGCAAGCTTCTGTGAATAACATAGATTAAAAGAATGTAAAACACAAATATTTTATGTATAGCTATCAAATTTACAAAACACATGGACTCAACAATTACTCTCAAAGCTGCTGAATAGTTCTGCAATTCAACTTTAATTATTGATACAAAGGCTTGAAAAAAGAAGTAAACCTTCCTACCCAACACATCCACTTTGAAATCTTTCTCCGAAGTGCCCGCTACATTGGAAGCCACACACGTGTACAACCCGGCATCCGACACCTGGACTCGAGTGATACGCAGTAACTGACCATTGTGTTCAACTTGATACTGTCCATACTTTTCTGTAGCAGTTAAAAGCTGACCATCTTTTAACCACAAGATTGTAGGTTCGGGGTTCCCAATCACTCGACACTCCAACTTGACCGAACCATTTAAGACAGCCTTCACTCTTTCTTCTTTCACTATAGGTCCCCTAACTAGGTTTTCACTTTGACGGGTTATTTTAGGGGGAACTGAAAATAATCAAGTAATTTTTTTTATAAGCTCATTCTTAACCCTTGTCAAACACACACACATAAAGCAATTGAATCATACAAGCTCATTACAAACAAAAACACCTCAATAACCAAATGTTTATATAACACTGAATACATAACAAGATCCATACATTAAAAAGTTTGCAGGAAGTAAGTTATGTTAAATCCATGCAAAGTATTTTCTGGAAAAAACATCTTATCTTTTGAAAGACAAACCTTGTACATTGAGATTAAAATCTTTCTCTGTT